CCCAATCGAAACATAATGCTTATATGACGCCACAAAAAAACAAGACATTCTCAGTATGCAACCCTCACAGCTTCCGTCACGTGAATATTTAAGAGATTTCGATCTTGGATGTGCAACGTGAAATATTTCTGTGGAAGCTATGACGTGTGGTGAGGTGTCTTTTTTTTTTTTTTTAATGAAAAGAAAATTTAGATCGTCACCTGTGCTGGCAGAGACAATAAGCTTAAACTGAGATACAGGAGTCACCCAGACGCTTCGGACCAGCGGCCAACCTGTCGATCCCCGATATCCCAGTGACCGCTTTCAGACCACTGGCTTCTCCCGGGGGAGGGGGGGAAGCGACACCTCGCTCACTGTTGCCATGCCGACTGCTTCATCTCTACGTACCATTCCACATCACCCAGGCATTGGTAAATGTAGCTGGTCGCTGTTAGTTGGTTGCAAGGGAAAAAAGAATTCAAGTTAATACCGCGTCCTTGATTTCAGATGAACAAATTTTCCTTTTCATCCTCTTTAAATTGTTTTCTAATTCATTCAGGAATTAAATTTAGATTAGAAAGTAATTAGCCACAATATAGCCCAATTGGAATCATATTCCCTTGAATGTTTTTTTTTTTACTTGCTCAGGTAATCAGAATATCCTGCTGTTACTACCAATTATGACTGATGAAGGAACTGAAAAGCTTTAAAATGGTTTAGAATAAAGCAAACAAAATTAAGACATCATATCAACGACAAACAGAAGTGCACAGACCACTCACAGTTAACATGTTTAAGTATACCTGAATCATTTATGATTTGAGGTGATGACGTTAAATGTTACTCAACGAAAAATAAATCAGTTAAGGTGGGAGGCTGCTTGCACAGGTAACGAACAGAGGAAACGTTGTGACAGAAACCCTGCGAGAATGAGCCATGCTTACCTTTTGCCTCGGAGCTGCCTTAAATGATGAAACACATTGATGACATCCCTTATTCGTCGAGGGGCTTCTTCGATCTTTGAAGCCAAGTTAATACAGGCCATGGCAACAATCTACAGAGAGAACAGACAAAGAAAGAGCTGTCAAAACACTATTACACAAGAATGCACGCAAGCATACATTAGTTGATAGACTGATAAAAATATAAACTTGTTAGCGGATATTACCATTTTGTGCTTTTAAGTAGTGAATTTGAGCAAATGTTTGTGAAACATGCATTTAATTTGTATCAGCCAATGGAAAAAAAAAAACTAAGGTCTACAACTATACACATTCTCAATAGGTCAATTATAACGAGAGCTGTGTGTATATCCTCCGGAGACCCAGCTATGGAGTTTTTGCCTCTGTAGTGGACATTATATTTTAGTGAATTTCTCGAAGACCTCACATGTCACAGTTTTAAAGGGGTCATATGATGCGATTTCAAGTTTTCCTTTCTCTTTGGAGTGTTACAAGCTGATTGTGCATAGATAAGATCCCTGAAGCTGCAAAGACTAAAGTCTCAAAACCAAAGAGATATTCTTTATCAAAGTTAAGACTCTGCCACGCCCCCCTAAAACGGCTTTTGGTAATTACAATTTAAATCTTGATTCATTTTCAAATTGTTTGTCATAAATCAACATCTCAGGAAAATGTTATGGGGTTTCAAATCAAAATATGACTTCCTGTTATGAAACAGGACATCATTTCATACTTGTCCACTGTAGAGGAACACCAGGACTAAAAGCATGTTTATTATACATTTTGGGAGATAAAATAATTGAATAGGAAAACAAATTATAAATCAATATTCTTATGAAATATTAGATATTATGAAAATCTGGCCAATTACTACTCCCATTATTACACTTCTTTTTTCAACATGCTGTCCCAACAGCACTTTAATACGCAAATTAGATACAGTATAGATAACATTGTGCTTAATGGGAAAACCAGTTTCTGGAATTTTTACACACATATTGCATAAAGCAGAACTGTATATCAAATCATTTTGTTATATATATTTTATAACATAGTTGAGAACCATCCTTAAACAAAGTTAGGTATAAAAAAATCCTGAAACCTAAATTGATTGGTGATAAAAAAAAAAATTCCCATTGTTTTTGCCTTGTCATGTCTATTCTTGTCATTTTATTTTTAGAAAAACTGAGTCCTGGTGTCCTCTACAGAGGACATAGCATAACATAATTTTTCAAAAATGTTATTTTACCATTTTTTTCTTATGCTCTAAACAATGAAAAGACATGAAAAAATGCTAAATTCACAAAGCTTTTTATTTCTGGTTCTCAGGAGGATATAACACCAACGTAGTGAGCTGTCTAACTAGACAGCAAGTCGCTGCTATTTGAAACCACGCCCGTTATAATTATCCTATTATGACGACAACGTTTAAAATAATATATACACCATTGAGCGATAGTTTTGGTTATAATCTGGTTGAATGTCATTACAGCACAGTAACGTTAGCTCAAACAACATGGCTGCCACCCGCATTGCTTGTAAATACGGCTTTATTCTCTTACCTCAAAACTGTGTTTCACGAAAGACTTCGAGTAGAAGAATCGATGAAAAAGCACTTGTCCGGTCGCCATGGCCACCTGAAACATAATTAGGATTAAATAAATTTTTATTATAAACGGCCCTGTTTCGTTTTCTAAAGCAACGTCCGCCATTTTGTTTTTGTCTAGCCGACGGACGCCGTTCGTGAAAACGTTCAAAATCACTGATATTGATCTCTAGATTAGGCACACGGTATACACTAACTTTAATTATAATTTATTTAGGGGGAAATTATTTTTGTTTAATTATTTTATTGGGTTACGGGTGCTTGTTTGATAGTGTCACATCGAAATTGCTTCATAATAATGGTTTATTTAAAGCCACCATAATTTGACAGCTTCACTTCATTAATCGTTTACGTAACGTTAGCTTGACAAACCGATTAATTACGTTACCTGCGGCAGTCGCAGCAGGATTCCGGCGGACTGGATGAGCTCGCAGCCCAGGATCCGCAGGTCTGTCTCGGTGGACAGGTCGAGGCCGTCCTGCATAGACGGGGTCGGGGAGAGATTTTCCTCTGGAATCAAAGAATTATCAATGGTGAGGAAGACTTCGGAATACACTTTATCCCCTATTAATATGCCCTCGCTATTAGCAGGCGCGTTTGCGGCGGGACCGGTGGCCATCGAGGCCTCCATGATCGCTGTCGTCGGAACCTGCCGAGGATGACCGAGTTTAGAAACAACAAAATCGTAACCCAGAGCGGAAAACAACACTGCTCATCGCTGCTTATGGGACAGCTCGCTGATTGGTGCGGAGATGTGTCATGTGACCTCAACAATCCAATCGCTGTCAGAGAACTGTTAGTTTATTCAACGCTGCAACCCACCATATTACTTTAAAGTACGTTTTTGTGCCCATAAATAATTATACGTTTTAAATATATTCCTGCTGGGGTTGTAAGCGCTCTGAAACAGGTAGTAATTATTAGATTTTAATTATTAGATTAAAATTACGATTTTATTTTTCACAGCGCCTCCTGCAAATGGAACTTATTGCATATGGAGGACGAAACCTGCAAAAACAATAAATAAATAAATACACAACTAAATAAATAAATATGCAAATAAATACATAAATGTGTGTATAAATACACACATTCTTGTTTAAATGCATATAGAAATAATTAAGCATGTGATTAAAGTAGGCAAATAAATAAAATAAATTGGTGGGCAAATGGAAAATGTTTAAGGAAATGCTAAACTCATCCTAACTATTTTCCTTTGATCACTCATTTATTTCTGAATGTAGTTCCACATTTATTTTTCCTCTGCACAACATGCTAATGAGAGGGTGTCAACCATGGACTTGGTCGGGTCTTGTGATAGCTGGGGGCGTAGCTTTCCCGCTGACGGGAGATGCATGGTGTAAATCCAGTATAGCCTAGTAAAGTCACTTTTGCCGTTCAACAGAGCAAAATACATAAAACACTGAGCTGTATTGTCCGTACAGTATCTGTGACTTTACAAACGACCCAACGAAATGGCCAGAGGTGTCATTTCCTGACGTAACCATGGTCATCGTGAGATTATACACTTTATCCGTGGAATAAGGACTCGTTCTTTTGATGGCAGCTAGTGTTTATTAGGATGGTTTTACCTGCTCGTTGTTTAGGTACGTGTAAGATAATTTTTATGCTCAGTAAACAGTCTTCTATAAGTCGATCTGCAGCAATCTTGCTCTCTCTTTATGGCGGGAGAACCAAATTAGTGACATACACAACACAAGGGAACATCTCAGTTGATTCTCAATTTATTATTGTACAAACAGAGGTTCATATACATCCTTGAGAACTGGTATGAAGTGGTTTAATCGAGGAACAGACAGTTGTTTCCCCATTAGTTATCAGAACAGAAAATACAGGTGACAAAATTATGTTAATAAGCAAATAACAGTTCAGTATTGCAATTAAGAGCTATGTAAGCATTAATATTTTACACTGGCCACTTAAATTCTTTTATGATTTAGCTCTCTCGTGATTATAACTACAAAACTAGCCCTATGAAAAAGTCAGATAATAATCAGTCACCTTGACTGATGAAGTTAATACGCATGCGCAGGCAAACGCTCAAGCACGTCACACACGATCCGCCTGCTCTTGCATAATTGACACCCTCTCATTAGCATGTAGCGCAGAGGGGGAAAAAATGTGGAACTACATTCAGAAATAAATGAGTGATCAAAGGAAAATAAATAAGATGAGTTTAGCATTTCCTTAAACATTTTCCATTTGCCCACCAATTTATATTATTTATTTGCCTACTTTCATCACATGTATAATTATTTCTATATGTATTTAAATTTATTTGTGTATTTATTTATTTATTGTTTTTGCAGGTTTCGTCCTCCATAATTCCAATACGTTACTATAAATGACGCTTGTACTTCCAGTGTTTTTTTTATTATGTCAGGATTGAACGTTGCTTTAACGTAAACCTCACGAACAGCAGATTTGTACACTTCCGCGGCCAAGCCGAGTAAAATGTGTTTTATTCACCTATAACATAAATGAATATATAAAACTCTCCACGTAACGTAATTACGCAGGAGCAAGCATAGCAGTTATCAACATAGTTTTGTTTCAAGGTTATGTGTATTCTGTCAAATTTAGGAAGAAACCTTTCTCAGGCAGTAACTATGTTGTTGAACTTATTGTTATTAATTTCTTTGTTTCGCATTACAATTTCTTTGTTCACTACACGAAATTCCTAACACTTTGCCTAGATTTGAAGTCTTCCTTGCTGAGATTTCCCATACTCTAATCTCCGAAACTCACATAACAAATTCCCTCAGCTTTTCTTGTCAATTGAAGTGTACTGTTTACTTGTTTGAAGTTTTCCTTCCTTTTTCATGTTAAGTTATTTGTATTACAATGCTGTGCTGTTTCTTTTATTATTTTTTTAATTTCTTTTTTATTTATTTATATTTTAAATAAAAACATACCATTATAGAGTTTATAATGCTGAAAATTGAGTCTATTCACAATAGTACACTTAGTGGGCTCATATACGTTGTTTTCTTGGCGAAGGTAAGTTATAGTTATACGCATATTAACAGTGTTGGGGGTAACGCATTACAAGTAACGTGAGTTACATAATCAGATTACGTACTTTTTCAAGTAACTAGTAAAGTAACGCATTACTTTTTAATTTACAAGAGAATATCTGAGTTACTTTTTCAAATAAGTAACGCAAGTTACTTTTTTTTCCCAATTTATTGATTGACAGCTCTCCTGTCCCCATGTTGAGAGAAATCAGAAGATGTTACTGTAGTTCTAAAATAAATATGAATATGCATTAATTCATCTCACTCACAAAAAAACAAAAAACATATTCAGTATTCCTCAAAATGAATAAAAAAATGCTCAGAATATGACGCAAACCTGCAATAATTAGTAATATGTGTAGGCCTATTTATTATCACATTTATATCACGTTTTATGTTTAGGCCGGTTTAGGCCTACTGTTAACCAGTGACTGGATTCTGACGGGAAGTTGACGCCCAGTGACGCTGATGACAGGAACTGAAACCTGTGTGCAGTACATATCAAAGCAAAGCCATAGGCAAAGCCAAACTTTTTAACTAACTGTCTGAACTGATATGAACGATCTCCTAGATATACATTTTTCTGGAACAATTTTTTGACAGTATTTACTGAAAAAGAACATGGTTACTCCCTGGAAAATAATGCATTTCTAACAAAATAAGTACATTTTAGATACATTACATTTTAAGTACATTTTACTCCATAATATCTAGCCAACTAACTCCCAAATTGCTCCTTTTGATGAAGTTCCCAATTTAGTGCTCTATAAACCTGAGGAAGCAACTTTGCTTAATTTATTTTTATAAATGCAGTCAGATACATTCCCTTTGGGAGAATATAAATGGTTATTTATCTCCTTTTGTAAAATGTGATTTAAACTTTGTTTGTATGTATTCCGTCCCCTTAGCATTTTGATGCAGTGCTGCAATTCTATGCAATAAAACTGATCTCAGCATTATACATTATGAAATTCTAATGTGTGCTTGAATTCATCTGTTTTATTAGAAATGGTCACCCCAGTGTATGAACGTCGAAGATGATTTTATTCCATATAGACCCTTAAAAATATAATACACTTTACGACAAAATATTATAGGCACTACAGTTATTACCAGAGGATTTATCAACCACCGTCAAAAACAAAAAACAAACATAAAATTAAGAATTTGTACCATGTCCCATAATTTCTAGTAATGGCCCTAGTCATAACTCATATAATCAGTAAGAGAGGGAACAAACAGTAGTTCCAGTTGCGGTCATATTTCTATAAAATTTCACAGGCAAAAAAAGGTCCGTTGTCAATGGAGTAGCGATGTATGAACCAAGCAGTTTTCTGTTGGTCAGTGCAGTAAATTTGTGTGACCAATTTGAACCCGAGCAAAATCTGTCAGGGCAAATCTTTTGTCCTCAAAGAAATTCTTGATTGCGTCGATTCCTATTAAAAAGACTGGATTTTGCCCATGAAAATTTGCCAAACAATGGTAAATGTGACCATACCTTTACACAATATATAAGTATTCTTGGAATGCCACTTGTCCTATCAAATCAGTGGACTCTAACTGTTGGAGAAGGCCCGTTCACACCAAGATGGTAACAATAAAGATAACTACAGGTGCATCTCAATAAATTAGAATGTCATGGAAAAATTTGCATTATGACTTCTTAAACCTCTCTAAACAATGTTTTAAAAAGTACCAGGTTGATATTATGAGCCATGCTTCGAATAAATTAGTAGTAGGACTTCTTACAGTCTATTACAGGGGTATAATCCTTTTTCTATTTTTTATGCTCCTAAACCAAACAAACAATGGTTGGTTGCTTTACATGTTGGTATTTTTAAAGCTGACCAGACTTTAAGCGCATAGTCAGTCACCTTCTTGTCTCCAGAGCAGGCACAGAGGTGCATGGCTGTGTGCCCGTTAGGACCCCTCATATTGGCATCTGCACCTCGGTGGAGCAGTAGCCTCACCCCCACCTCATTCCCCACCAACACCGCCAGCTGTAGGGGGCTCGTGCCCACACCTTCTCCTCCCTCTACGTCTGCCCCATTATCTAGCAGGAGCTCCGCCACATCCCCCCAGCCTCCAAAAATTGCCCAGTGCAGGGGTGTCCACTTATGAAAGTCCTGGGGGTTCGGTGAGGCCAAGTGCTGCAGCAGAACCCGAGCTGTGCCCAGGTGTCCGCTGGCTGCAGCCAGGTGAAGGGGCGTCTGGCCGGAGCAGGACCTCGCTGAATGTGACGCCCCCTTCTGGAGGAGAAAGTCTGTGGTCTCTGGGTTTCCTCCACTGCAGGAGCGATGCAGGGGAGTGCAGTTGAAGAAGTCCTGGCTATTTACCTCCACCTGGCCGGTTTGCAACAGGAACTTGATCAGCATGAGATGACCCTTAAAAGAGGCGTGGTGGACAGCTGTCCAACCATACGGGTCCCTGGAAGTACAAAATGGCCCAGTCAGCAAAAAAATGTCTATATATTTATTTCGGGAATAGCGCGCAACAAGCTTTTTCATGGTATTACACATTACTATTTTTACACTGGTATCTTTTGTTTCTAACATGTGTGACACTGTAATAATTCTTTATTTCAAAGGGACATGTCATGGAAAGTGTGACATAACGAACGTTATAGCAAAAATACTGTAGACAGAAAGGGGATAAGTGTAATTTTTTTCATATTAAAGTCAAAATATATAATTTGTGAATGAATTCTGTCATCATTTGTGACCCTGGACCACAAAACCAGTCTTAAGTCGCTGGGGTATATTTGTAGCAATAGCCCAAAAAAAACATAGTATGGGTCAAAATTATAGATATTTCTTTAATGCCAAAAATCATTAGGATATTAAGTAAAGATCATGTTCCATGAAGATATGTTGTACATTTCCTACTGTAAATATATCAAAACTTAATTTTTGATTAATAATATGCATTGCTAAGAACTTCATTTGAACAAATTTAAAGACAATTTTCTCAGTATTTAGATTTTTTTGCACCCTCAGATTCCAGATTTTCAAATAGTTGTATCTCGGCCAAATATTGTCCTATCCTAACAAACCATACATCAATGGAAAGCCTATTTATTCAGCTTTGAATGATGTATAAATCTCAATTTCAAAAAATTGACCCTTGATCTAAATCAATGGGACAAATGAACGGAAAAAATACTTTCAGAACCAAGGCTGCTGAAAAATTGGATGGGTGCATTACCACTCGATATGAGAGCAAAAACTTAACATGGAAAACTTTTCATGACACACAATGTAAGCTACAAAATCAGATCATTCAATGTGCAACATGGCTCCTTTAACAGGTTAAACGTGTAGTTCACCTGAAAAAATAGCATCATACATGTTTGGAATGACATGAAAATAATGGCAGTTTTTTTTGGATGAACTGTTGCTTTAACAATATAGATCACTAACTGGCAGTTAGCAGGCACGCCACATTCCAGCATGGTCTTGACTTGGTCCAGACATCCCTCCCAAGCAGCATAATGCAGTCTGCGCTCATCCAGGAGAGAGTGTCTGGGTTTGGGTCGACGATGGATCCTCCACTGTCTGGTCCCTGCTCTTGATCTAAATCAATGGGACAAATGAACGGAAAAAATACTTTCAGAACCAAGGCTGCCGAAAAATTGGATGGGTGCATTTCCACTCGATATGAGAGCAAAAGGCAGTTTTTTTTGGATGAACTGTTGCTTTAACAATATAGATCACTAACTGGCAGTTAGCAGGCACGCCACATTCCAGCATGGTCTTGACTTGGTCCAGACATCCCTCCCAAGCAGCATAATGCAGTCTGCGCTCATCCAGGAGAGAGTGTCTGGGTTTGGGTCGACGATGGATCCTCCACTGTCTGGTCCCTGCAGCCGTCCGGACCTTCCTCTCCACAGACCCTATAGACACAGAGTCATGGAGCTCCAACCACCTCCAGTGCACCTCTGGGCCTGCATGGGCCATGGCAGGAGGATAGTCTGTGGAAGACAAGGCCATGGCACAAAGTGGCACAAAAAAAAGAGAGAGAGCTTTATAAAGTACTCCTTTCATTTTCATTGCTCGTTAGTAAAGATAATACTGCACTAGAAGAGTATGGACAGTTGTACAAATTAGTTTCTGGGTAACTATACACTAATTCCACCAGGGGGGTGGTAAAAGTTTACAGCAGTTAGAAGATTCTCAGCCAGTTTGGTTACATCACTAATTTGGACTGTTACTGACCTACATTTGAAGTGCCATACATTTTTAATATGCGTAAATCGGAGTGGTTGCATAACCTGTAAAGTCATTGTCTCAATGTCTCCAAAATTTCTACATTGATCTTGATTGACTCTTCCGATCTGTTTTTCTGCTGTAATTCCATCTAGAGATACGGTTGTCATGGTAACAATGGCTGCAATTACTATTTTAGAGGTTTTCATTAACTTTACTGGCAGTCTGTCGTATAGAGGAGAAACAACACATGGAAAACATTTTAGTGATATTATTAGAATTTCATTGTAAGTCTATAGTTTTTCCCCCCACCCATTTTATCGCTCACCTGCCAAAAATTCTAAATCTCTCCACAACAAGCCACACATTCTGAGATATCATTTATGTCTGCAACACAAAGCTTAATACAAACTGTATGAGCAATAGTTTTAGTAATGCATGCCTTAAGTTTGTTTTAAATAAAAGTTGGTAATTTTTTTTAGTTCACCCAAAAATATAAATTCTGTCATCCTTTACTCACTATCATTTCATGCCAAACCTGTATGGCTTTCTTTCATTTGTGGATCTTTGAAGAATGTTGGTAATGCTGCTTTTGGTGACCACCGACATCCATTGTATGGGCCAAAAAAAGACATTTCTCTGAATCTTCGTTTATGTTCCACAGAAGAAAGTAAGTCATATAGATCTGGAATGACACAAGACTGAGTAAAATAATGACAGAATTTTCATTTTTGGGTGAACTTTTGTGCAGTTTGTGCACTCATACTGACAGATGAAAAGAGATGTAGTTTAAAAAGATAACAGTTTAAGTGTTCTGCTTAGTGTGAATGCATGTTCCATGTCAAGCTATGAGCCACAGGAGATCTGGAGGCGTGTACAGCCTGTCATGTCGTGGGAGTTCGGGATTATGTGGGCGGACAACTTTGCCCTTGCAAGACAGAAAAAATATTTTAAACACATGCAAATGCACAGATACACTGCTGTTGAGGAAGATTAATAACTAGACATCAAGTAAAATTATGCTATTTTGTTGCATTTACAGTGAAAATATTTGAGTCCTATTTCTTAGTAGTGGCTATTAAACTCCTATTTTAAATGATACCCCAAACAATTATCAGTTCATAAGATAACTTGCATCATTTCTTGTGTATTCAAATTAGCATTCACATAAATACACATTACCAGAGATTTGCTTTTCAATTTGCAGATCCGTCCAACCGAGTTGACTGGAAACGAGACAGAAGTTACCTGTGAGTGCCAGTTACTCCATGATGTCTTGCTTCTCTCCAGTGTGCTGATGAACAGATTTCTCAGGGTGACATAACATGTAAGTCCGGTCTTTCCACCCCCTCTGATATCGGTTAAGTATTTTATGTTCATCTGAGGTTGCTATGGTGAGAATAGGCTTTTAGAGCACTGTTATTGTATGATGGCACAGACACGAGAGAGAGAGAGAGAGAGAGAGAGAGAGAGAGAGAGAGAGAGAGAGAGGGTGGGGGGGCGCGCGCGTGATGGTACCGAGTTGACTGGAAACGAGACAGAAGTTACCTGTGAGTGCCAGTTACTCCATGATGTCTTGCTTCTCTCCAGTGTGCTGATGAACAGATTTCTCAGGGTGACATAACATGTAAGTCCGGTCTTTCCACCCCCTCTGATATCGGTTAAGTATTTTATGTTCATCTGAGGTTGCGAGGTTGCTAATAGGCTTTTAGAGCACTGTTATTGTATGATGGCACAGACACGAGAGAGAGAGAGAGAGAGAGAGAGAGAGAGAGAGAGAGGTTGGGGCTGCGCATGCCTGATGGTTACTGTGGCACAATTAAATACACACTGCACACTGTCTCTTTTACTGTATTCTGTACACTTTAAATTGTGCTATAAACCTATTATCATGGTCATTTTGCCTATTGTGAGATCACAATTCAATGCATTTGTTATGTTTGGAATGAGTATACTAAACCATTAGGTTTCCATCAGGGTTGCACCATGAAGAAATGACTTGAGAAATGCCTTTTAACTTCAAATTCAATGCCTGAATGAATTGAGGTATAGCAAATGGGTTGCAGAATTGCAATTCAATTTGAATTTAAGGAAGCAGAATTTAAATAGAATTAAATTCATATAACTGCTGTAAGTGTAGGATTTTGGTGGCAAAATTAAATGGCTCTTAAAGGGTTAGCTCACCCAGAAATGAAAATTAGCCCATAAATTACTCCCTTACTTACCCTCAAGTCATCCTAGGTGTATATGACTTTCTTCTTTCAGACGAATCCAGTCAGAGTTATATAAAAAATTGTCTTTGATCTTTCAAGCTGTTTCATAGCACTCAGCGGGTGTTGCATGCATCAGTCCAAAAGCAGTTAAATAAAAAGCGCCCATCCATAAAAAAAGTGTCTCACACGGCTCCGGGGGGGTGAACAAAGGCCTTCTGTAGCGAATCGATGCGTTTTTGTAAGAAATATATCCATATTCAAAACGTAATAATCACTTTAATGTAGCTTGCGTTCACTGTTGTACACTGGAAGCAGTTCCGGGCGGATGACGTATGAGGTCGGCGCTGTGCATGCGCCGGTGAGTCTCGTGAAGATCAACGTTTGTTAACAGGAGCAAAGGAAGCAAAGTTTCCTTACTTTAGCAAAGGAAAACCAGTCTCCTCTTGGCTTATATCGAAATCCTTTGACATTATTCTTTATAAATCCTCGTTTTGTACTTCTAATTAGTGACTGTTGTTTTGTTTTGATCTCTCCACTGCGTTTCTGCATGCGTCACATCTGAGCGGCGCATGCGCAAAGCCGACCTCATACGTCATCCACCCGGAGCTGCTTCTGTGTTCAACAGTGAGCGCAAGCTACATTAAAGTTATTATTATGTTTTGAATAAGGATATTTTTCTTACAAAAACGCATTGATTCACTACAGAAGGCCTTTGTTCACCCCCCGGAGCCGTGTGAGACACTTTTTTTATGGATGGGCGCATTTTATTTAACTGCTTTTGGACTGATGCATGCCACACCCGCCGAGTGCCATGAAACAGCTTGAAAGATCAAAGACAATTTTTAATATAACTCCGACTGGATTCGTCTGAAAGAGGAAAGTCATATACACCTAGGATGACTTGAGGGTGAGTAATTTATGGGCTAATTTTCATTTTTGGGTGAACTAACCCTTTTTTAAGTGTTGTGACAGAACTGGACATCATAACACATCTGTTCTACATATCATGGAATACATTTGTGTATTTTTGCATATTTAATTATGCAGTTTCCATGTCTTTCCAGTGAGTCAAGTTTTCACACAACATGTTGGACTAATGAAATTAATTTGCTGCCTGACAGTGTTAAATTACATAATTCAGTAAATGCCTGTTGTTTGTGGGCTGTTCAATTTAATTTCACATTCATGAATCAAAAGACGGACACTTTATAAATTCATAATTTTTCTCGTTTTGATTAAATGTCCTAAATCTGTGCAAACATAATGTCTCTTAGACATTGCATTGATTTTATTATTTATTTATTTACTTTTAGAATTCATGCCTTGTTTGTACATCTATAATACTAAAATTAAGTGTGAAATAACAGCATATGTAGGCAGCAATGATTGATCTTCATATGTATTTTTGAAAGAGACTAAGAAATGTGCTTAACAATCGGTTTATATATAATGTTTATATACAATTTTTGTATGCAAATACAAACAGTATTTATACTTTTTATATATATAAATAGCATTACAATGCAATATAACTGTGGTTACAATTATTCATGAGATCATATGATGTTATAAGGGGCATTAAAATAATGCATAAAAAATAATTTGACAATGCATTGCATATACAGGCTTCTAGTTAAGTATTACCGTTGTTTTATCTTTGTGAACTATGCCTTTAAATGCTCAAACTACTTTTCCTCAAAGATTTACTAAAACAAAATATAACATTATATTATAAATTGTAAATATATACAGTATATTTAATGCTGAAATGTTGCTGCAACCTGTCGCATATACTTCTCTTGAAATTCCTTCGGAGAAATATAAAGGAGCAAAGCGAATGTTGATACAGTAATATAAAATTAAGGTGATTGTGCATCTCAGATCATATGGCTTTTGAAGAATTTGATTAAATAACAGAGTTAATATACTGAGATCTTTGACTTTTGATGGCAGACATTAGCATTTAAACAGTTCTGAGCACAGTTTGAGATGTGAGATTACTGAGATTACCTTATTATTTCACAAATGTCTTTGAAGTTGGTAAACAACAGCAGATCATAGATAGTCTGGTAAAGTTTGTGTAATGAAATCATATGGTCTTGTCATGCTCAGTTTGTAAAGGAGTTCACATTTCCAT